GTATTAACTTTAGAGCTGGCTGATATGGGCCTTTCAAGCTGAAGAAGTGCAATATCATTTCGCAGATGTCTCCCACTGTATCCTTCATGTTTGAATAATTTCTTTAAGCGATGGGTCTGCTGTACTGCTGTGGATCCAAGCCGACTATGAGCACCTGACAGAGCAATTTTAAATTGAAAAAGTTTAGCAAAAAATGTATCCAAAAGCAACTAATTATTTCAAGTAAAACTGAGATATTGAGATCTATATTGCCAAAAAGCTGGGATGGTAACAACAGAAACATATAAATCAGATATAAATTCTCCAGTTTTCGTTTTCTTTTAATTTCATTCCTTAAGTAGGCAAAACATCGCGAAAACTCTTTTTCTTCTTCTGTTCAATTTGCGGCTTGCTTAGTTCCCCTTTTCTCTTCAACTGTAGTACGTATTCTCTTTAATTTCTGATTTACATATTGTAATCCAGCAATTGGGAAACTAGTTTACGCAGACTTACCCACGACTACAGTGTATCCACTTGGATTCGGGTTCCTATCGACACAATGGGCGGCAGTGACGACCCAGTCCTTGTCTATGAGAGATCCTCCACATATGTGACGTCCATTTACTCTGAGTGAAATCTGCCAGGGCCAAGAGTGTGGAGAGGCATTTTCCCCATTAACGACTCTAGCCGTATATGGTTTGACTCCACAACCTACACAATGAAGAAGGCTTTTAATTTTATGGTGATATTACTAGATGAGAGGTAGAGATTCAGCCATGTTGGTTAATGCAATCTGACTAATCATTCAAGAAGGCAAGCACTAATGCGTAGTGATTATCATGATGTGTAACCCTAGATATTTGCCTCAAAACACAGCAACCAATTTGTGGTATATATCAACGCTTATATATGAGCTTTCGATGGGAAACTTGTTTGAGATAAGTACCGTTTGGGTCGCATAATCGAAAAGACTTCGAAAGACTGAGTATTTAGTGATCATATGCGAGTCTGATTAATACCTTTAGAATGCGAAACTCCAAGCAACAAAAGTGCAGCTCCGATCCAGAGATTCATGCTGGCTGAATGATATCTATTTGAGATTGGTCCTTGTTTTATAGACTATATTATCTTTGATGGTGTTTCTCGCTTGGAAATCCTGTGCAAACATTACTTCTTTTAACTTTCGTAACGGTCTTTAAGATCTTACCCTATCGATGATTCAGGTGGAGAAGATGTTTAACTAATGACATCCAAACCTTTTCACTTTTAATTTGCGCTATCGTCAGGTTCTCTTTAAATGCAAATTGTTTTCAGCTATTTTTCATTAAAATATGTGAGTTAAAGTACCCATTATTTGTCTTAACCTACATGGATTACACAGGTGGCTAAGCTGCCTTTTTCAATAATACCTATTTCTTTCTTGTTTCAATTAGCAGTGTTAGCAAAAATTATTCACAGGCAGTTGTTTTGAATAATTATATATATATACATGCCATAAGTTATAACTTCGAATACAAAGAGCATTTGATTCTAAAGGATTAATCAGGTGGCTAGAGTTGAAAACACTTTGTTTTGCGCTATTATGAAATAATGGTCGATTTCAGATGGAAAGGTTTTTCAAACGTTTCTACCTGGAATCATCTTGTTTGGGAATGGTGAAAAAAAACCTGTGTATTGTAAGTCGCAAACGGAAGATGGGCTTAGAAATGGTTCAGTAAATATCATACTATCGACTTCCCAAATTTCATCTGGGCTTATCAGTCTAATTTCCTCACAACTAATTTTATGATGGCAAATTCTGACACCCCACTTACACTTTTGCTATTCAACAAGGTTGAGTTCTACCGTCCAGTTCATTTAAAAAGCGAATCTTGTTTATCTTGCTCTGTATTTTCTTTTATATTCTTTTTCATTTCTTTAACATAGGTCTGCCTTTTCGCCTGAAATTTTTATTTCATTTGAGGTATTCATACTGAACTGCATTAAATAAACTTCGAACTTAAATCAAAGGTTAACTATGAGAGAGAGTCGTCTGTTTATTTGCTCATAAAATCAGGAAAATGCTGTACGGAAGAGTTATCGAAGTAGTTTAATTAAATGTATACCAAGAGTAATTCAATTCTATTTTAATCCCGCTCAGAATGTTTCGCTTGGCTTGGAATAAATTAGAATTTTCGCAAAGTGAACGAAACAGATCATCATTAATTAAAGGAGTCTGAGTGTTGTTTTAAAACCAGACCCAATAAAACAACAGAGGAGAAAAAAAATTTATCAAAGGGAAAGTGTCTTTTGGTTATCGAAATTTACCTGGTTTCTGCCTGGCTTCTACGTGGTTTTACCTAGTTTTCGCTGAACGTTTGGCTGTTTCTTGAAGCCTGAAAAGTTGTTGTTTTAACCGTTTAAGAACAAAAACAAAAAAAAAATAGAAGCATTTTAAGTAATGATTGGGCATTGCTTTGATACCATATTAACCAAATTTTAGGAGGAAATGTGATAGTATCGAGCAATATCGAAACCTTTTTGAGTAGCCTCGAAATGCACCGGAGTCACCCAAGGAAACAAAATTTGAGGCATCATTTTTTAAATACGTCGCAATTGAAGTAAGTAGCCATTTAAGCAGCCAGTAAATATTTTGCCTATCACATGTACAAATCAATTCCGATAGAAGAAAAAAGTCGTTTTTTTCGGGCCTGAGAGTGCTCTTATTTTGTCTTTAGAGTGTCCCGTGAACTGGTAACGAATTAGCGGGTGATGACGCAGAAAACTGTGAAAACTCTCAGTTGACACCTAAAAATCTCTCCATCTCTTGCATTTTGTACCTACCTTCAGCAAGCTCTACCGAGGGTTGTAATATATCGTACTCAAGTGGTAGAGAAGAAATGGAAGTTACGAGTACGGTTCAGCCCTAAGAAGCAGAACTGCGTGCATCAAACGAAGATTTCGACGAAGTCTGACAAAGAAGGTTTCTCGCCTGCAGTTTTTAGGTCAAGATAAGGACAAAAAATTTCTTTTACTGAATGTTTACTTTGCTGCGTTGTGTTTTTTTTTTCCTATGGTGAATTAAGAATGTTCGTTTCTGTTGCCATAACATTTTATTCCTTAGCAATATGTGTGGGCAAAGTTCCCCTCGGTCAGTGCTCTGAGGTTTTGTCGCTGTAGAGAAATTTCCCTAGTAAACCGAATCGGCTAACTTTTGACAAAAAAATCGGCTGTATCACGAGGCACGATGATTTTTCACTGAGGAGTCATCGGGCAGCTTCACTGCAAGTTGCTCCTTTCCTCACAGATTGCAAGGGCAGATCGTCGCGATCGTCGAGCCGGTCAAACCGAACGGAAAACGAGTGAGTGCTTAGTCATCTGATTCGAGTTAATTTCATATGGGGATTTTAATAGAGAGACACTTCTTTAGTTTAAGTGCAGCGTTGCCGTATGACCCATTCCGCTCAAAGGAAATAACTGACATCAGTATTATAACTGAATATTTCGTACGCATCGACTTTCACACAACACTTGGATTCGCAATCATCTAATCCAATAAAATTTGTGCTTCTTTATTTATCTCGTTGAAGCGTTGTTATCACAATGACATTGCTGCTGTTGATACTTTTAGTTTCTTTAGGGAAGGGGAAATTGATGGCTCGTGGGATGGATTTTCGGAAACCTCGGTTAAGAGAATACATGGCCTCTTCGAGCTTGTGTACATGCCAGTATCCGCCAGAGGTTTTGCACTGTTCACGCAGCAGGTTATCGGTAAGCTTGAACTTCATTAAAAATGATGTTTTTCTTTTGTTAAAATACGATGGAAATTACAATTGGTAGGATTTTCATACGATAAGAAAAGTGCAAATGTAGTCATTTGGAAAGATAGTACATCTCAAGTGCGTGAAATAAACAATAATAAGGAGCTCACTATTCTTCGCTTGCAAAATGTCAGCCGAAAAGAATCTTGAACAATCGTGTTCGGTGTGGGAACAGACCCCCTAATCAGCATTTCTTTTCAGCTGAATTCATTGGAAATTTTCCCCTGATTTGACTAACAATATGTGTTCGTAACAGGCGCCTTCGAAGCCGGTGTGGAGCCGACGACATTGAAGAGCAAAAGCTCGACGATCGCAACGCGTCCATTTTGGCCATACAGCTACATTCTTTGAAAAGTAATGTATAGAACTACCCGGTATATGTGTATTATTCTTGTAACTAACATCATTTGGCTCTCCGGCTACGCAATACGTTCGTCCTTTCTTCTTGATTTCTCCTTTCTCCACCATTGTTGCCGACATGTCTTTATAGTTTTCTACGTCACAGCTATGTAACATGATCGTTTTGGCCGCGCGTTAAATAATGACACTTTTTGGCCGCCAAATCGTACTTTCAATACACAAAAAAAGTCAAGGAGAACTCGTTAGCTCCTAAGGTTGATTATTCCTAATTTTAAAAAACAGCTATCAAACAGAAAATGTAAAAAAAAAATTCGTGTCATGGTGACAATTTCTCTTCAAGAAGCTTTGGCTATTTTTTTTTTAATCTAACCAGCCTAGGTCCCAATAGTAACTGAATAATGCATAAACGGAAATTACTAAAAGACCAATAGTTTAAACTTTTCACCCGGCTTAACATGAATATGTAAGTTCTCCATACTGTTCTCTATACATTTCTAAATGTACTGAGGAGATTTTAGATATATGAAAATATCTGAGGAGAATCTGGCTAACAATCAAGAGCTTAATTCTTGAGTTCACGACTATTTCCTATATTCTCTTGACCTAAATATTTGATTTAGTGGTGATATTGTTGGGAGCAATTATAGATCCCTATCACTCGTAGGGGGTTAAGGAGTTAAAATTTAGATTTCGCACGCGGCATTTGATTGACTGTATGTGAACACGATGTTAGTGATATTCTGATTTCTTCCCTCCCATTGGTTCTGGTTACTCAATGACCCCACTTTCATTATATGCATTCAAAATTTTATGTGGTAAATGCTACGTTGCTCATCACTATAAATTGGATACTACGAAGTATGTTGTTTAAAACACTTTAATTTGCTCTGTTCAAGTACATAAGTGAGAACTTTGCCTTAAATTCAGGTCGCTTCGAGCCTCGTGGGTTTTGATGGCTGTGAAATAAAGAGAAAAATGCAAAGATATGAATCATGTCAGTGTTTTCTTTAATTCAGTCAAATTGTAATCTTATATGATTGTTTACCCGCAGATAAAAGTATTCGACCTAGCAAATCTACTTCTGAAGAAAATAAACACTAAGATCACGTTTAGCTGGCCGAGAACTCGTGTGATGGAAGCTTCTCGATTCATAAACAAGAAATGAAGTGTTCTTTGATGCTTTCTAATATTTTTCTTTGCTTGATTTTAAGGTCGACAAGAGGTTTACGATTTACTAACTAGACTAACAAGATGATATGCTCAATAGAAAAACTAAATTAGATACCTGAATTTAGCAGAGTTTGCATGTCTTCATGCAATTTGTCCGCACATACGAATGCCATGGGCAGTACCGAGTCCAATAGCGACACCTTCGGTCCTTATCTATGCAATCTAGTCACAATAATTACATTAATTAGTACACACACAGGTGAATAGTGCTTTTCACGCTCGCTGATTGGCTGTTTCGGAACGTGATAAGCATGCAAATACCATTCACCTCCAAGCAGCCGAAGAGACAACATGGTACATCGAGATTAATTTAAGACCATTTTTTGGTATATTGACAGAGATAAACTGATTTCTTTGCCTTTTTTCTGATCCATTCTGAAACAATCATTCACCTCAGTGTTTGTGAGAGTGTGAGATTATTACGAAATTCAAAACATTTTTCTCGTAACATCCCGGAACGTGACAAAAAGTGAAATATTTTCTATTGTCCAACTTCAAAAAAGACTTTCAGGAGCCAATGGGTATATATAAAAAGCCTTTCACAATTACATAACCTATTATCTACTGACTGCTACGTATACAGTCCAGTTTGTTTGAAGGTCTGCGGTAACGCTTTGGCTGGTAATTCAGTAAAGCGAGCCCTGCCAGTATTGTATTTAATGGCTCGCGCGCGCCTATCGAAACAAAATCGGTAAAACGTTATTTTGTTTTCAAGCTTTTTAGTGATATACAGTTTTTAATGTTTTCTTTGAAAGGGCGTGCGTTGGACGCTTTTTCCAGGAGGCACCCTATTTTGTTGTTGGTAAACATACGAAAAGTTAATCAGGGCGTCACCTATGGCCATTCCAATCGAAGTTATAAGATGGTAACGAATGCCTACTTCATTTTGAGAGTAACTTTAAACTATGACTTCCCTTCTCTTTCTAAACCGTTTTCGTCACCACTCAAATTTCCAATGCATTAATTTAACTCGGAAGAACTGGTCGGTGTTAGCATTCTTGTGGAAGTCCGGAAACATACCTCCGTTCAAAGAGCTATCTGTAAATACTTTCTGGAAATTGACATATCTAGAGGCCATTATCTGAAAAATTTACCCCTTTTACTAATTTTCTCCTGATGTGTTATATATCATGCATTATATATTATATTGAGGTTTGCTTACTTCCTCCGCCTCCGCCGCCTCCGCCTCCGCCTCCACCTCCACCTCCACCTTGAAGAAAATAAAAGAAGGGATGATACTGTTAGTGTCACCTATAATTTCCGTAAGACCTCAGGAAATGCTGCAATAATAATGTCAAAGCATCAATAATAGTTGATTACAGGTGAAGATTAAGAGAATGAAAACAGGGTAGCCTTCCCTTAGTCCAAACAAGGTTTCTAACAATAACAAAAGGTCTTTCAAATACAAATTTTGCCGGAATACTTTGACATTCTTATTAGGTATGTCGTAATATTTGTATAGAAAATTATCTGTGCAAATGCAAAATTGCTCAGAATCAAGTGACTTTGAATGCTTTAAAACTCGTTATGAACTGGTTTCTTATGACGTTTTGTATGATATCCTCAGAGAAGATTGATAATTTACTCGTTCGTGATAGTTTTTCTAAAACCAGCTTCGTATCAATTTCTCGACATTTCGTACTGAACATAAAGCATTCTTCTGGACTGGACTCTAAGTAGGCTTACGAAGTTTTACCTGACTTCTTGCTGTTGATCCAGCTAATGAAGCTGCTTACACGAGCGAAAACCGTGTAGTGATCTGTCCTACACTGCGAATGACCCCAGCTCACAGCACCTCTCAACACCCATCGTCCACGCTCATTGCAAACAAAAGGCCCGCCACTGTCACCCTATGCAATTTTGTAGCAATAGATATAATGATAAAACATAATTATCCGTCAATCCAATGACTTCAAAAAGAAAGTCAATGAAAAGTGAGTTTATTTTTACTTCCAGTCACGGTTGATTGTGTAAGCCAAACTGGCCATTCATTTTGGGCTACAACTGTGTTCGGCCACACTTCAATGCAGGGGTGACCGCCGTTTCTAATTTTAAAGATTAATGTGTTATTCAATTACCTGGCATCCTCCTTTTCCTTGGCGTCCAGCACATACCATTGATCTCTCATCGACAGGAATCAGTCGTCCATTGACTCTGCTGCAGTCACGGTGTGAGGCAACTGGCAGCATAGCCTGTTGGAGAACGTCCGCTGCATTTCCGCCTCCAACAGTTCTTCCCCAGCCTACAAACGCAAATATGACACGTTTATTCAATTTTACCATGTATTTGATTTAATGGTCCTCAAAGCTTATATGTCTCAAAACAGATCGATGCCTCTGCAAAGCAGCATTGAATCAATTAAATAGCGAAAAATGAAGCATCGATAAAACTGTCTATCAAGTTTCACTAACCATTGAAAAGGGCAGTGACGGTGATGGTGTAAATACACAGAGCCTTTTCCATAATGTGGTTTTTCCCGCATTTTAAACATCATGAATTTACGGTTAAGACTGCCTATCGTCAAATTTCAATTTTTATACCATGTAACCTACTTGACAAATGAATGCTTTAGAGAAAACTTAACGAGATTTTTTTTATCAAAATAGCATACTTCTGATAGTTTTAATTGAAAGGACAGATATGCTGCTACACCGAACAAAATACCAATCTTCGTCTCCGCAATTTCAAAGTGTGTATGAAATTATATCGCTGGATTACATTTTGAGGTTCAAAAACAAATTATTTCCAAATTTACTCAAAATTTATGTGCAAACGAAATTACGGTTTGAGAGTTAAACTGCAGAAACTTGAAAATACCAATTTCATCAAGATATCTAGAATTGAAGTGCGAAATCTATAACGGAGAAGACTAAGAAGCAAATGCAGTCAACTCTGCACGAGGAGTCCTAACCATTGGAAAAGCCCATCACAAAGGAAAAAGTCTGCTTAATACGGCCGGCAAAACAAATTTACTAGATCTGGTATAGGAATAATTATGTTCAAATCATTCAAACAAATTCTAGTTACCTGTAATATAGCATTGCGATCCTGCTGGAATCCGACTCCCAGAAGCTGGTAAACACACCGTGTTGACTTTAGGACTGGGTGATATAGACCCAGCAAGCTGCAGAAGTGCTATGTCATTTCGCAGATTTCTCATACTGAATCCTTCATGTTTAAACAGTTGTCTCAAACGAAAGGTCCTCTGCACTTGTGTTGATCCTGTTCGACGGTGGGCTCCTAAAGACGTCATTATTGCAAAAACATTTATTTTAACAGATGGTAAGTCAGCTCAAGTAAAACTGGGACATTACCAGCAATCCGAGACATTTTACTCCCGCGGTCCGCGAGGTCAGTAGTTTCTTCAGGTTCTACTGTTCATGCGCTATGGCGTCAGATTTCATGTAAACATGGAGCGAAGTAGATTTCCGCGGAGGAATCGAGTTGATTATAAAGCACTAAATGTTCTTTCTACAGTGGATTTAGAAGTTCATTTGAAAGGAAGGAGAAAAGAGACAGATTCTCTTCTATTTCATGAGGCACCACAAGCTCAGTTTCATAAATGTTAAGGGTTAGCCCTTTCCTGTTTGCCTCTTCTCTCTTACTTCCACTAACTTTCTTCCCAGTGTATTTGTTCACAACTGCACCGGCTTCACGTCTCAATCTTCCGTGGATTCTTGATCCGTTCTCCTTGCTTACTTTAAACCATCGACCAGGAATCCAAAAATTAAGAAGGTCAATGTAGTTTAACTCATTTCCTCTCTCGTCTTTTATTCCAACAAGCTCATGCCATTTCATCAAAATTGGATACGGGATGTATATTGCCAGAGCTATTCGAGATTCTTGAACGCATTGCTGTTTTATATAAGAAAGAGGAGATTCAGTGACCTTAAGTTGAAATTCTAGGGATTTCTTTTCGAAATCGAGCAAAACATCAGACATTTTTTGACGATTCAGACTGGAATGAGCTCACAGTGATACAAGTTTTGTTTTTTATAATTGGCGCGATTTGGCGCTTGTAGGAGTCTGCAGATTGTTAAAACAGCGGTAAAAAGCGTGGAAATGCTAGGCTGCTAAGCTGAAGTAAATATGGCGACTTTTTTCACGAAGAAAACGATGGAAAGTGGTCGTTCTTCGCGTCCTACAGGACATTCGCGAGCTCAGGTAAAGGTTACGTCTAATAGTGAAAAAGCCCTATTTTCAAGATTGATTTGCGGCCTCCTATTTTATCATGGAAGGCTTTATTTAACGTATTTGAAAGATCGTAAACTGAAGAAAATTTTGAGGGGTCGGCACCGATGAAAGCATGAAACACACGGACAGCTCAAAGCATGGAAGTGAAGGTAAGTGAAGGTATTTGGATGAAACTATAAAGGAAGTACAACCGAAGATCTTTGTTATTTTACCTCTATTCCGCGGCTCGACGAATAAACGAAACGGTGAAAAAACTTTCGCTTCGTAGTGCAGTTGCATATTATTTATCAACGAGAGGTCGGCACGTAGAATTTAATTTATTTAAACTGCCAAAAAATAAGATTTTATTTCAGATCCCATACATTTCTTTGTATCTTCGGGAAGCCATTTTGAAAGTAATCTTTGATTGACGTACGGTATTTGAGACGCAATATGACTCGCATTGCTGGTAATGGGTTGAAAAGACAAGGAAACGGGGATGTTAGCATCAAGAACATTTAATTTGATTGATCAATAAAGTGATTGTGATTGGAAAAGTCTTTTTCGAACACTCTTTTTCTTCTTCTGTCTAATTCTCAACTTTTCCCACATCTTAAACGATGTTTCCCCTTCTATTACTGAGTTGCAGAATTACCCAAGTTTGTAACTTTTGAAAATGTGAAAACCAGAGGATAAGTAACGAGTTTAGTTTCTCCTTTTTTACTGTTCTTTGGTTTTTTCTTGTTTCTTTGTTTGTTTGTTTTCTTCTTGGTATATCATCGACTTACCCACGACTACAGTGTATCCACTCGGTCTCGGGTTTCTATCCACACAATGGGCGGCAGTCACGACCCATTCCCTATCGATGAGAGATCCTCCACATATGTGACGTCCATTTACTCTGAGAGAAATCTGCCAGGGCCAGGAGTGTGGAGTGGCATTTTCCCCATTCACGACTCTAGCTGAAAATGGTTTGTTTCCACAACCTGCAAAATACAGCAACATCTAGACGAGTTTTAGTTATTCAAGTGGCCTAGGGCTAAACAGTTTTAGATAACTAATCCTTCAGATATCAATAAGCATTCAAAAACACAGGCCTAAGAGAGCGCTAATTGGAGTTAAAAATGATTTTTCACTCATGAAAATAAGTGAGATACGTTATTATTCTGCTCGGCATTCTCAGATAGATGCAAAGAAAAAAGATCTGTAATACGCACCTTGAGAATATGAGACTGAAAGACACAAAAGTGTCACTCCGATCCAGAGATTCATCTTGACTGAAATGATCTCCAGTTTGGTACCAACCTTGGGTTGATGCCTTTTTTATGTACTTTAGTGTGATCTCAGCTACCCCGCACCCGGAAATCTTTCTCAAACAACAAGTCGTTCGAATTTCCAAAGGATCATTCTATTTGGCTACATCTGATGACTCAGTTGGCGGCTACGTTTTTGAAAAGATCATCCTTTTCTTTTATGTCTGATATTGTGTTGTGTCAAATTCAATTCGAATGCAAATGGCATTGTTATGTTTATAAATGCTGTATCATATACTTGACAACAAACGCATTTCTATTTAACCTCATCGATGGTTCAGGTGGAGAACAAGCTTTTTAAAGAATATCCATAATTTTTTCTTTATTTTGCGTAGTAGTTAAATTTTATTTGAATGCAAATGCTAATTGTTCAACTGCGAAAAAATTCAATATGGCCGGACATTCTGTCCTCGTTATTATCAAAAACGTGAAAGAGTTACATACTGGTCTTTAAACAATCGTTTCTTCGTGGTCGCGAACAAAAGATCGGTTATGAAAGCAGCTGACTACAAGTACAAAACCGTAAAATCCACATTTGACGATCCTCAATAGCTTTATTGGTCAACTTTAATTCTGCTTGTCGAAACTTTATCCGAAAGACAGCTGCACTTGCTCCTTTTCTCAATAGTTTACTTTTTTAACGCGGTTTTATGAGAACAAACCCATCGTTACCCAAAATTTACGCCCAAAGGAGCAATTCCTCTTCATTAGCCTTTTTGCAAAAGTTTGTAGTCTTCTTTTTTTTCTAGATGTTGTTATATTGATGTGGAAAGGCCTTTAATAAAAACAAAAAGGGCTACTCAGTATAGACCACACAAACAGAAATAAATAGGAAAAAGGAATGGGGCTACACCTGGGAAGATGTTTGCCTGATCTCCTCATATAGATATGCAATTCATCTCCCACCGAAACCATGATATTCATCTTATACATCCTGAAAATGTTCCCTCAAAAAATTGAAATGTCCTTTTTTTTATTTTCATTAAGAGCAGAGTGATTAAAAAGGGATATTTGATTTAGATACCGTTAAAAAGAGTGTGTAGTGTTGAGTGGAGTGCAGTTTTTCCATTTACTTTCATTCCTGTAATATGCCGAAAAAGGGATGTTTTAAAATATTAAGATTTAAGTTTAACAAAACGGCAAGCGACAAAATTAAATTTCGTGCTTTTTTCTTTCATCCGTTTTAACGCGTTAGGTGCCTTTTACCATTAATTTATGCTTCTTGCGCAGGAAATAGTTGAACCTCTGCGCCGGCCTGAAAGACATTGAGTGGCAAGAGACCACGAGCATGCACTCTTTGTAGTAGTAAGACATATAAATGCGAGGTGACGTGAAAACCCGAGAAGGGCATCAATCTTTTTTGTAAATCAACTACATGCATAAAGATCAGCAATATTTAGGCTAATTCCATTTATTTCCCTTCAACTTGTGGTCACTACATTAACATCGATCAACTGCATAATGTTGACACCTCATTGGGTTTGATGCGTTCTCTAAAATACTGTGATTTGATGATAGGTTCATTGCTCTGAATAAAAGGGAAAAAAGAGATAAAAAACAATGAGCAATAAGTGTTCAACACTACTAGAGGTTTCCCTCAGATGTAGATAATGTTTTTTTTCAAGGGGCATTTTCAGTAGTTTAATGTTAGGCTTAATTGTAGATTTTCAGAATTTTTCCCACAAGTTGTTTCGAGGATAACAGTCTTTTCAAGTTTTTTTATCCCATACATTTGAAATTAAAAAAACGATACCTTCATGTACATAATAACGTGAAAATATGACAAGTAAAGAGACTAGCTATTTCACAAATTTGGATGATTTCAATTTTCAAATTTTTTTATCGCTTTTCGCGAGCAGTCTTATTTCATACTTTCCGATCTTTTCTTAGGCTACAATTAGCTCTTTTTGAACCGTATTGAAATCACCGTCCTGGAATCAATTTTACGCTGAGTAGATTATTTAATTAGGACGAACAGATCAACTGGCGTCTCCCCGCAACATTTTACTGTGCCTCAATTTTTTGAAAACAGTTTATCATCAGTGTACGGCTTGGTTTATAATAGACTTACTGATTAATTAAGGTATTATTTTCTATAAATCCCATATAAACTGTCTGACTCTAATGGCGGTTTTTCAAAAATCATTTTTCTTTTCATTGTCCCCTTGATCCCATTTTGAAATCACTTGTGATCCTTGCAATTTGATTGGCTCTCTTGAGAAATATTCGCGCCGAGATCATTGGTGCGATTTTTTTACAAATCGCTTCTAAATCAAATCTTTTTCCCAGCCAGTAAGACAGCTTTACTAAAACACAACAATCAATCAGATTTCAAGGGTTTTTTTTTTGAAGAAAGCAATGAAATTGCGGTAAAATTATATATATAAAGACAAATTATGCAACTTTTTACAAATCAGCTCAATACTAGATCAGCAAAATATTGCGCAGACTACAAAAACCTGTATTTGAACGACTGAATTTTTTTTATTTCAAATAGATGTATTAAAGTGGTAATTGAACTTCGTGTAGTGCAATTTTGGTCTGAAATCATACTTGTGATTTCAAATCAAACCTGCGCCGCACACTCCTTCTATTTTGAAATCACGTGTATAACTTCAGACCAAATCGCACTCCACCCGGTTAAATTACCATTATGAACCTCAGTGTTTAAAGCTTTGAATGAAAAACAAGATTAAATATTAATATAACAGATTTGCCGAATAAGATGTGGGCCATTTGATAAATTTCAATATTTTATGGTATTTTGTAGCCAACACGAACCTTAGACCATACATCACTTCTTCAGAACCTTGGGATCAAGTCCTTGTTGACTAGAACCTAAAGACTGAGTCTATCAAAGTTCTCCCCTGTATCTGTTGTTTGCCTATAACATTACCCCCTAACTCCCACAAGTGACCAACAGAATTTCTCCTAACAATATCAAGACAATATCAAGCAGAAACGTGAAGAAAAATATCAATTAGGGGATTATCAGTTGCTTCAATACCAAATTCTTTGAACTAATATTAAAAGAATTGACAGTAGACAATAAGGAGAATACTACTGATGTCTTAAGAGTCTAACATTTATTTACCTTTGATCAACAAATGCCACAAAACTTTTTGCACCCCTCTCTCACGTAACCATGGTGACACATCCCTTTCCATCGTTCACAGTAGGAACCCCACTGATCAAAGCAGCCTTCAAGGAAGTGAGAACAAAAAACGATGACATGGAAAATCAGCGAACAACGAGGATTGGGCAATTGTCATGACGCAATTAACACTTTACATGTACTGAACTCCCATAAGCGACTGAGACAGAATCTCCCCTTACAATATCAATAAAATATCAAGCAGGCAAGTGATGAGAATAAAGAATTAGTTCATAATGGTCCTAAAAAGCTGCATTTGGAGTTTATAATCAATTAAGTATGCAGGACTCATACATAGATATATACATACATACATAAAATCTTGACTGCAAAATTTCGTTAGAATTCCCTACTCTACTTAGAGAACATCATTAGATGACAAGAGTTTCTAAGATGTTTCACTCGCTATTTCGATTGAAATATGAAAAAGTAACGCTCGTTTGCTAATTTATTATCATGAACTATTTAACATGGTTTGACCTGCACTGCGTTCACTCCTGCGTGAGCCATTTTCAGTTTCTGGAGATAAAAGCAAAAACATCGGTAATGACACTGACACTGTTCGTATCCTCTCTCGTATTGTTTTAATTTTATCGTTACTGTAGTGTGGATAAAATGTAACTTTTAAAATAGAACGAGCTCTTGTGAAGCCGTGATACTGACTAATAATGATGATGTTGATAATGATAACAAAAATTACGATGCTGATAATAATGATAATAGTAGTGAGAGTGAAAAACGTTTTTTTGATAATGATACTAATAATTACAATTATAACGATGATGAAGACGACGATAGTGAAATTATGATACAAAAATTCTCTCTTCTTTTCATCACCGTATCCGTACGTGAAATTTAATTGCAAGGATTATATACTGTTAACAGAAAAAGCTGCGTATATTGTTTGATATTTGAAGATTTTGTGTACGGCTCACTTGTTATTCGAATGTGGCGAACCCAGAAGAAGAAAAAAAAAGCAATAATAACAGTAAAGTTATTATCCTTGCATTTTCTTCTCCAAAGAATTACGTACATCAACTGATTAAAGTTGTTTTTTGACAATTCTGCTTCTTTAAAAACTAGCAAGTTCAATTTTTTTTTAAAGATGAATTTGCCGTATTTTTGCTTCTGCATTACCAGAATTAGAGAATAAAGATTTAGATAAAAGGAAGTCAAGATATAAAAAACTTGGTTGTGCCAAAGTAGCTCAGAGAAAGCGCTTCTTGGGGTTTCTATAATGTCCATTAAGGCGTACGACCGATTAGATGCGACATAAGTAAATTCGGAGGTGCTAAATTACTGTTCCCAATCGAAAGGATTTTCACTTCTGAAAAATCGTTCGTCACCGTAAACACAGCTGATCTGAGTTTTACCTCTATACATTTTGCATTCCTCCTACACAATAAAGTCTGAGAGAGTTCAGTTGAGACATGAAAAATTTTTTTTAGCCTTCCAAGATTTCACAAAGCCAATGATAACACTGGGATCTGCTGTGTTTTAAAGTTATTATGTTCCTCAGAGCCGAGAAAAATTTGCGCTTGATTAGTGCATACAATTAATCAGGAAATAATCGTAGGTAACAAACACCAATGCATTTTCCTTTCAAAAAACCCATCATTCACGCGAAAGCGCTCGAAAACTCTGATGAAATGGAGACTTTCCAAAACGGTTTCAAGGGTGGAGCATTGTGGAAAAGCATTATTTTTAAAATGGTCCTTTTTAAGAGTGGGTGGGTTGAAACGGGAAGCATTTTAAAGTTGTATAGAATTATGTTGCTAATTTCAGCGTTTTCGGGCGTTTTTGATCGTCAAAGACGCATCAAAAATGTATGCGTTCATGAAACGCATATAGATTAGTGTGGATACCTGAGGGAAAACGTCGATGTGGGTGAAATATTTTACT